TTTCTTTCATAACCTTAAAAATTGATCAACAAGTTCATTTTGTAATTGATTTGTAATTATTTATTGAAAAATTTGTTTGTTTATTCTCAATATAGTTTAATTAGATTTTTTTTTAAATTAATTTGAGCTAATACAACGAAATTTAAAAAACTTTTTAGATTTAACTGATTAAAATTGACATTTAATTTAATAGAGTTCAAAGTTACCCTAAATGCAAGTGTAACTTTGAATCCCTACTTGAACTTAGTTTTTTAACAAAATAACTAGCAAATTTAAAAAAATGATAACAAACTTGAAAAAAGAGATCAGAACACCTTTTATGTAAAAATATTTGTTAACTAGTTTGTAAAAAAAATTTGTTGAGATAAACCTAGCGCAAAGCATTACCTGAAATGACTGTAAAATGAACTTATTACTTTGCGGACAAACAAGGAAACATACATAAACTTAAGTGTTCTCAACACCATAGTCATAGCATTTAACTAGTCTGGAAACGTGGGCCGTTTTCTTAAAACACTCAAGTTCCTCTCTATACTAGTACTCAGCCTACTTTAGAGTGCATCAAATTGTAAACATTGTATTTCGCTATAGATATGTTACATATATTCTGGGATAAATATTGAAATGGCATGAACAAATTGTGATTTTTTTGATTATTCAGTTTCAAGTTAATATTTTGGATTGCATAAATATTTCTTATTCCGAATAAAAATGATGAATATAGCATAAAATAAAGACATCAACTGTTGATAAATGTAGTTATGTGACAGAGTTTTTAGTGGTATAAATATGCTTATTCAACCATATAGCTTACATCATATAAGCATTTAAGTTATATACTATATGAAAATATGTTATAGATGCAAACATTTCATCGACTGTATAACTTGATGGATGTATATGGGTATAAATGCTTTGTATTATATTCAGAGTATATTTATTTAAAATGTTACCTAATAGAGCTTAATAAACTCTATATTCTATATATAGTTTACTTAGCTGGATTAGTTGATAATTTATATATCACTGTTTACACTATGTTGGTATCTTTTCTGGAAACAAGAAAAAATCAGGTACAATTTTATCATTTTTAATGGTTTCAAAGCTAAATTGATGTTGGTATCTTTAAAGATATGTGTTATACCCTTAACACAGCATGTTTATCTACCTTAGAAAAAAATTTATATCTTAATTATTACCTAAATTATATTAAAAATAATGATTTGTTGTTTAATTTTCTACCTTACAAAGAAAAAAAATTTTACCTTTAAAGATATAATTTTTTACCTTGGAAGGTAGAAGATTTTACCTTACTATGTGCACATCACATATTCTACCCTACAGTAGAACTTCTACCATTTTTTTTACAAGTGCTATACTAACAATAAATGTTGTGCAAAAATGTTTTTCTATTTTTATTAATAAGTAAAAAACTTAATCAGTAAAAAAAATTAGGATTTTAATAAATACTTTAAAAATAGCTCATATATAAATTTTTGTTTTTATTATGCTGTATTGCAATATATATAATAGCAAATTAAAAAAATATACTTGGTGCAATAAAGATGATGCAAAAGTCTGCTACTAAATATTGCATCACTTTCATACATAAATCAAATTTAACTTAATTATAAAAAAAGTAAAGTGTATTAAAAGAAGATTTTATTTAAAAATCACAGTGTATTAAATTAAGTTACAAAATTTAATTTCAAATCTTGATTTTCAGCTATAATTTAATATCAATTTTGTTAAATGCAGAAAAATAATATCTCAAAATCTAAGGTTATCTTCAACTAAAATAAGATATTTTATGTTAATTATCTAGTTTTAAAGTCAGCTGCAGTGTATGATGATATACTTGAAAAACTAAATTTCTTAAAAGTTGTTGCTTGTAACTTGCGATGTTTAAGCAAATCGCAAGTTGTTGAAAAGGCATTTTAAATGATTCATTTATGCCTAATCCACCATAAGACAACTCGTTACTGTCTTATTTAAATATGACTTATCCAACTTAAAGCATATGGAAAAAAAAGATATATGTAAGGATGGTAAGTTTATACAGTGGAACCATATTGCTTATATATTCTATAAAAACAGAGGATGTAGCCTTTGTATTTTACCTAAACTTACTTTTGAGCATATAAAGTTGACAAAATATTTATTAAGAAGTGTTAACCTTGCTGCCTAAGTAATAAATTTTTGCTGTATTAAAAATTTAATTACATTATGGAATCTGACACTAACAATCACTTAGTGCTTGCAAGGGTAACCCATCAGTTAATGGCTTTCAATAATAACAAAATAAAAAATATTTTTAGTAGCTGGAAATGTAATGTATTTAGCTACACGGGTATTATAAAGTGGTAGTAATATAGTATTTAATCATGCCATTTAAAATATATATATATACCAATAATATTTTTAAAAAATATATGGCTATGAAAATAGCAGTTTTAGTAGGTTCAAGTCATCTCACTTTCTCTTTAATGTTTTTGTTCCAAAATAGAAGGTGTTTTTCAATTGATGTTCTTTATATATCAATTTAGTTTGACTTTTTTGAATATTGAAAGCTTTCAGGTTATATTTTGCAATGTACAATCCCTGAACTTGTATGTAAAATGTTAGATGATCATGCATACTTAGCTGCAAGCAAATATGATAAACACTGCTTATTATACAACTTAGACATGTTAGAATTAAAACCAATTGTAAAATTAGAGGTACCAAAAACATTCCCACTAAGTCACAACAGAATGTTTTGTTTAGTAATGTAGAGGGATACATGCTTAAATGTTATAATATCATTAATAAAAGAGGTACCAGTCAGATAAACAAAGACAAGACTTGCTACTTCTAAACATGACAGAAATTGTTTTTTCAGAAAATGTTTTGTAGAATCGATTCTACAAAATATTTTCTGAAAAAACAATTTCTGTCATGTTTTGAAAGCATTAATGTTTTGAAAGCTACTTCATGTTCTTTTATGTTTTAATCAGCGGTAAAAAATTTCAGCATTTCAATCAAATGAATCAGTTACATTTTTACTAGGAACTAAGCTGTAAAGCTTGCTTCAGATAAAGTACCATTTATCTGAAGCAAGCTTTACTGCAATCTTGATTAAATAATTAAAAAATCTAATAGGATGAAGAATAATCTCTGCTTTCTTTTATTCTTTACTAAATGTTTATCAGTAATCTTGTCCTTGTGCTTGGCGTTAAGGTGATGAGTCACTCTGTGATATCCATTGTTTCTTGCAAAACAAACACATAAATATTCTTTCTTCACTTTGGTTAGGATAAATTAAAATAGGTAGTCTAATGTTTGAACTAAAATTGAGATCTGCCTCCAACAAATAGCAACTCAATAGCAGCTAAAACAGAATCGAATTCATTCAAATTTTTAAAGTCTGGGCTACAAAAAGTCATTTTAAAAACATTTGATGCACTCTCAGTCTGGTCACTCCTTAAAGCCCCAGTTATTTTACGAAATCTATATAAAATAGCCCGCATTTCCAGACTAGTTAAATACTATGACTATGTCAAAACGACTTAAAAATCTGGCCGGTTTTTCGCAACTAAATATTATTTCCGTGGTCAGTTATTGAGTGCGATCGCACCCGCTTCCCGACCAAGCCTGTGATAGTACTATATTTTTTTAAAAAATTGAAATAAAAACCAATCCTTTAAAATTTTATGTATTTCTAACTGAGTTTTTCTAATATCTTTTAAAATAATGGTTTGGCTCTGATTTGGGTCCAAGTATTTGTTTACCAGTATTGATTTCGTGAAAAAGATTGTAAGATTTAAAGTTGTATGGTTGTATATTTTCAAAATTTTAATAACAAGTTAATTCATTGGTATCGGCATCAGTATCAGCCTTTTCCAATCCATCGGCAACGGTATTGGGCAAAAAGCGCTATCGGTACATCACTAATAAATATAGTAATTATATATGATTTGGATGAAAGATTTGGTGTGAATTTTATTAGGAACAGGTAACTCTGGCATAATTGCAACTCTTAAGTTTATTTACAGAAAAACATGTTTTGAACTAGCTTACTAGTAACAATATATTAATGCATGTTTTTAATGATAACTGTTTTGTGGTTTTTATGTTACCTGTATAAAATTAGTTCTTAATAATTAGTAATTTTGTATATAAATTAGTTATTCCCTTAAATTGGAGTCAACAGCATTTTACTTTCTTTGCTTTAATAGTTTAACAAAGTTTAACTAATTTTATGTTTTTGTTTCATGAAGTCACGATAAAATAACTCTTACACTAAACAAAAACATACAACATATTTCAGAAAAATACTTTATCTATTTTCTTTGGATATGGTTCTAATTATATTGATTAGCATGCATTTCTTCAGATGTGAATTTATTTTTCTGCTATCCGCCAGACATCTGCATCAAAACAAAAAATATTAATCTAGATATAGGTTGACACCCAGTTTTTATTTCCACCCATAGTTTTATGTGATAAAAATCTCCACCTTGAAATATGAGCTGTGTTATGTTTATTACAACTCGATTCCATATTTTGCTGATTAACAGATAATTTAATGGAATTTTTAAAGCCATTGATTTGGTAATCTTCCGGGTAGATCTTTGTTTTCCCTCAAAAATATAATCTAATATAACTTCTTAATTAATTATCAGGATGTCTTATGTATCTGGACTGCAAAATATAAACTAAAAAATACAGATCTACTGATCAAGAATTCTTAAACTTTTCATCAAAAAATTCAACTGCAGCTTTGATTGTGTGATATATTGAGCACAAAAAATGATACTGTTAAACAGAACTAACAGTCATTACCATGACATGAAAGCCATCATCATTGACATTAACTAACATTAATTTAGCATATAACAATAATTTTATAATATTTAAAAAATATTTTAAAACAATAAAACAAAAGTTATTCAATAGTTAATAAAAATTATTTTATCTCACATTCTTCTTTACAAAAATTATTAAATTTTTATATGTACCTGGTCATCTACTCCACCACCACTAACACGATTAGTTCCGCATTTCTGATTTAAAAAGTCAATAAAATCTTGCTCACTACGACCACTTGAGTACTGAAGTAAAAAAAATAAAATAAAAACAACTATTACTTAGTGTAAGTATTAAGCATATTACAAAAAAAACAAACTTTAAAAATGTTTTATGGATAACTCCGAAAGTAAATTTTAAACATTAACAAGCATGGGGTATATGAATAACACAAATCCAAATATCTAATCGAAAATCATTAAAACAATTAGATATCCTCAGACTCATAAATAAATTAAAAAAAAAAAAAAAAAAAAATTTCTGACTCCAATAGTAAAACTTCTCTGTATTGTATGTGCATGTATAAAACATGCAATTAACCTTATATTCATACTAAACTTCAAAGAACGTTTCATAAATTTTTCAAAAAAATTTTTTTATTTTATTGCGTAATATTTTTTAAAGAATTCAAAAAAATTTTCTAAAATTTTGCTTTGGAGTTGTAGTCGGAGTTGTACTCAAAAAATTTAAACAAATGGAGTCAGAGTTGTTACTTTTTTTTTACACGACTCCACACCCCTGATTAATATTTGTCTTAGAAGAAAATAACAAGGCAATCTAAGATTAACAAGGCAATCTAGGGTGATCATTCTTACTTGATAACGCAACAAAAATAATGTTTTGCGCTGCCCTTTTTACAGTAAATGGTCATTGTCTTATTTATCTTATCTAGACTATGATAATGTCTATGATATTTATTATAATTTATAATATTTAAACTTGAAAGATACAAGATAGCATAGTTTGCTATATGCTAAGTTCTAACATGAGTAAACCATTTTGTACTGGTCGCTCAAAATATCAATGTGTAATATGAAAAAACCATAATTTAAAACTTTAACTAAGAGCCATTGCTCCACAGTTACAAAAAGTTAGTTTTATATTGAATTCAATACCGTTTTCCCCTTTTTAAGATAAATTTTTGTCTTTTAAGATAGACGCATATATTTATGAAATAAGAAGTGATTACTAATAACAAAATAAATTTAAAAGAAAATTTGAAAACCAAAATATATTGTACCTCTTCTCCAGCTTTATTTGTTTTGGAAAAAAATTTGATAGTTGGAAACCCAGAAATACCAAATCTATAAAAAAAAAAAGCATGAGCATTTAATTTTTTGAATGTACAATTTTTTTAATTTACATAGATTAATTACATAAATGTAAAATTTAAATTACATTTTAATTACAGCAAAAAAAAAAAATTAAAAAATTTCTTTAGAGTCTCTTACCGTGAACCCAATTCTTTCTCACTATCAGCATCAACTTTAGCAACTACACACTAAAATTCAAAGAAATCCAAAGAAGTTATTAAAACAGATTTTCAAATTTATTTCATTTTTGTTGGTTCAGTTCAGAATTAGTGTGTGTATAAGGACCTTGTTGTGAGATTTTGTTGCATAACGGAAAAAGGTAATGCAGGTAAAACCGATTGCTTTGAATTTATTTTTTCAATTTAAACTTAATAAAATAAATTTATTATTTAATAATAAATTTAATTTAAATATAATAAAAAAAACTTAAAAACATAAAGTAGAAAATAATTTAATTAACTGTTGTTTTTTTATTAAAAAAAAAAAATGTTTCACAATTGCGGTGATATTTTTTTAAACAACAATTTATTATTTTCCACATTAACTATTTCAAAAACTATTTAACTTTAAACTCTCTAGAGAGAATTTTAATAAACTTGCCAAAAAAATACAACTTACATTAGGTTCATTTTTAAATGTTTCAGCTACTTTTTCATATGTTGGTGCTAAATTTTTGCAGTGGCCACACCCTAAACATAATAAAACATTTATTAAAAAGTAAACTGGATGATACACATATAAAAAAAAGTTATATAAAATAACACATATTTTATATATATATATATCACAGCGCATGGCAGAAGAACATTTAATTAGGAAGTTTATACCTCCTTTATGTTTCTTATTTGACAAGAGTTTCTTAGTCCTGAACCTCTATCTATAAGAGTATTCCTTAAATTTTTTTCAAATTACATGCTAATAAACTTTCTTGTAGCTTTTCTAACCATTTGCGAAGTCATTGCAATGAAATGAAAAATGAATTGCCTGTTTGCACTTTTTTAAAAAAGCTTTAATTTTATTTAAAATTACTATTAAAATAGTGCAAACTGGTTAATTTTCACACACCCAGTGTACCAATGAAGCAAGAAATGCATCTTAACTAGAATAGTTCATTGATAACTGATAATAAAGATATTTTTAATTTATCTTTAGTCAACGATGAACCTTTCTTGCCAGTAAAATCCATAGAAAATGAAACAAAAAAGCATACACATAGAGAAGAAATAACTCTTAAGAAAACTCTTTATTAATTTGTGATGTTTATCTTCTCAGTTAACAGAGCTCACAGAAAAAAAAATTAAAAAAATCTAAATACAATAGCATGCCCTATAAATTGAAAGTATTCAGGTATTCATCAAAAGAAAAGAAGATATCAGTAAAGCTTTGAGAATAGTTTGACAACTAAAAAACTTACTAAAACATATCATTACAATTCCCAATCTTAAAACAATATCAAAGACATCAAAAGTAAAAGAAAAACAAAACTTAATGCAGATAAAACTAAAACATAACAGTGATGGTAAAGAAAATAAAATGTTTATTGCTCAATTAGAAAATGATATGTTCCAAGTAAAAGATGGAAAAATTCAAAAAGGTAATAGGTCAGAAGATAATAAAAGTTAGCCTTTATAAATGAGAATGATAATTTATGGCATGTTATTAGTATATGTTCCGACAGGTAATATTCCATTTTTAATTGCAAAAATCGGGTAATATTTGGTGGTTAGCGTTACTGATATTCCTCATCATTCTACTATTGAGCAAATGACTTGTGAGCTTGACAGTATAGCAGAACTGCAAGCACCAGCATGGTCTATATGTATATCTTATCTTATTCTTGGATTCGATTCAACAAGACAAGAGGATATTCATATCAACACTGTTCATCTTACATCTGAAAATTATTGTCAGGTCATTGCTCTGGACCAGTAACCAGGTGGAACAGCTGTTGATTATGATAGCCATATATGTGGTGCAGTTGATCATTTAGCTTTTATTCCTTTAGATTTTAACTTGTTTCCTGTTAATAAATGGCTTTTATGGCTTGCAAATATGGTACAGCAAGTAAACTTGCAAACTTACAGTAAGTGACTTGCAAAATAAGTACCAAAATTTTTTTGGCTTGCAAATTACATACAACAAGTTTTGTAGCATGCAAATTTTTATGATAGATGGCTCTGGCTTACCTTCACGTGGTGTCTATTGTTAAAAATGATTTAACTTTATTTATTAATGGAATTTAAAAATTAAATCATTCAATAAAAGCCAAGACAAGAATTAATTAAATTTTTTGTTTCAAAAGACTTTGCTATGTCTAATAACTTCTGTAAATATAATGATGTATAACTACATCTGTCCAACAAAATCTTTAAATACACTGAGGTATAATAACATCTGTCCAACAACATCTGAAATTTCATTGATATCTATAACATCTGAGCAAAAAGCATATAACTACTATAGATACAGTTACATCTTTTCAATTATCTAAGTATAACAACATCTGTACAAATACATCCGTGAATTCTGCAGATGTAGGCACATCTTTTCAATTATATTAAATATAACTACAGGATTTTATGAAACTATTAAATTATAATGAATTATATTAACCAAATGTAATTTCATATTTGGTTTTTTAATTTTAATTTTGAATAAAGTTATATCTGGAGGAAATTCTTCCAGATGTTAATGGACTTGGAGAAAAATTGCCAGATATAGTTACATCTTTTTAAAGATGTTGTTAGGGTCATTGAATTTCCAGATGAAATCGGACAGATGTTGCTGGAGTAAAAATAAAATACAGATGATCTTGGACTACTTTGCAGATGTTGTTGGACAAATATAGTAACCTTTTACCATTTATACATCAGTTACTATTTTTTAAAGTATTGAAATGTTATTTTATTTTTTATAATAGATTTAATCATTTGAGTGAAAATCCCTTAATTTACCTAGAGACTAATTTGAGATTATAGCTTATTTTTACATTTATCTTTAGATACCAAGTTATAGATATTTGAATAAGAATTAGCAAAGTTATAACAACTTATTTGACCTTAGTTTTCTACTAATATATAATATTCTAGCATTTAATTAATTTAAAAAATCAGTCGATGTACTTTTTTAGAGTAAATAAAAAGCAGGCTATTTTTGTTAACTTAAATAAGTAATTAAATCATAACCGAGTATAAAAAAGATGGCAAGTATCAGCGTTTTTAGAGAAACTTTTTAAACTTCAACATCAAATTAAAGTTCTTTTCTCAAATTTTGAGTTCTATATTTTTATAAGATTCTAAATCAGCTTAAAATTCTCTTGACTGAGAATTCAAAAAATCAAAATCAATCAAAAAATGACAGGGGTATATTTTAGTTAACTGTTCAGGGTTGTTTTTTAAAATAGTAAAAAACAAGTTAAAGGTAATTATGTTAAGATATCAATACGATTAGCTATATATAAGTAACATTTATTCAACTTAAAAATCAAGAAACTCACATGGTGCATAAAACTCTACCAAGACATTTTTACGTGAATCCAAGACATGAGAATCAAAATTCTCTTTAGTAAGAGTTAATGTATATTCCGCTAATGTATTAGAAAAAGTAAATATGACTACAATTAAGCAAACTAAAGAGAACATTCTATAACTCTTTGACTACGTTCAAAACGTCGCGTTCAGTGGTAGATTTATGAATTAGTCAACGTATCAAAAGAGAGTAAAGCTACAAATGTTTGCTTTGCTTGCCCAAATGTTGACTCCAGCGTAGAAGTCAAATATTTAATTTAATCTTTAATTCAAAATTTGATTGGTCAAATATGATTTTTACTTGCTTAACCAATTATGAAAAAAGAAAAGAAAGCTTTTTACAATGCTAAAATTAAAGATAACCAAATTTAAAATAATCAAAAAATTAAATCAAAATTAAAAATCATAATAAAAAATTAAAGATAATCATTTTTAACCGCAAATTAGGGATTTTATAGGAATTTTTGTTTGTTTGTTTGCTTGAAACGCTCAAGAACAGGTACGTCGTTATCGATATATGAACTATAAAATGGTATGGTGATATCATAGTCAGAACTAGTGACACATGACATATTGCAAAATATATCATGTGTCACTAGTTCTGACTATGATATCACCATACCATTGAATTAAGCAAATGGCTTATTCTGAAATAAGCCATTTGCTTAATTCAATGCTACATTATTATGCAAATACTACGTGCGCAAATTGTCAACTAAAAAAACTTAAAAAAATTCTTTGCTTACAAAAACATGCTTGTAGAATTATATAGAATTATAGTGTGACCAAAACTAAAAATTGTAACCAACTAAACTAAAAAAACCGTAACTAAAATTAGTCGACTAACTTTTTAGTTAACTAAAATCAGTCGACTAACTTTTTAGTTAACTAAAATTACCCGACTAACTTTTTAGCTAACTAAAATTACCCGACTATCTTTTTAGTCTAACTAAAATTAGTCGACTAACTTTTTAGTTAACTAAAATTAACCGACTAACTTTTTAGTTTACTAAATATACCTGACTTTGTTTTTAGTCCAACTAAAGAAATTTATAAATATATAAAATAAATTATTTTTGAATAAGTTTGCTATTGCATAATCATTTTGCCGCATAACACCGCAAAAATAAAAAAATATCAAAACAATTTTCTTTCTATTGTCAATGCCGAAGGTTTAACAAGATACTTCAAGAAAAAGTTTCACAAAAATCCAAAAAGTAAACATGGTAAAACACAAATATTTTTAGAATTGAATAAGCTAACGAGGCCAGCGCAGAGGGGTGAGAGGATGGGGTGGTTGGTTTTGTGTGTGACATCCCATCAATGAATTTTTAGCTCATTTTAAGTTATCATTTGACGATAAAGATGATGACTCCGGAAATGATAGTGACAAAATAATAAATTTAGATTTAAAAAAAGAAATTAATGGTTATATAAAATTGTAAATGTAAGTAAATGAGCTTAATATGTAAATGAGCAAAATATTTTATACTTTTGGCATCAAAATAGGCATGTGTTTTCAATATTGTATTGTATTTCAACAATGATTTTATGTATGCCTGCTACCAGTGCACCAAGTGAACACCATTTCTATGACGCATTGAACACTTATTATGCAAAGCGAAACAGAATGACAACTGAATGTTTTCAAATGTTGATGTTTTTGTACAAAAATTTGTAATTTTTTGATTTAGTTTAAATTCATTAAATTTAATACTGAAGTTTTTTCTTGTAATAAGTAATTTTTAATACATTTTATTGTTCTTAAATAAATATTATTAAATTTAGTATTCGAACTCTTTTGTGTGATAGTGATTTTTTTTTGTTACAAAAATGTAAAAAATTTATTTAGTTTTTTAAATTCCAAATGTGTTAAAAAAAAAAAATTGAAAATTAAAAAAATTAATGAGTGATTTTAATATTCTTGAGTGTGCGGTTTTATCATGTTGCCTAAAACCGCAAACTTTTTTTTTTTTACCTTTACTATTTTAATAGTTTGATTTTTTTTTTTTTAATATTTATTTATATACTTTTTAGTATTTTTTTGAATATCTATCTATCGAAAAAATATAAAAACAAATATATTAAAAAAGTTAATGAATTTTAATTGATAATTGTTTTGACCCTGTTTTACATGTTTTTTAAAGTGCTTAAAAACTACGTATTGCATTTTTCAAGTAATTAAAATGTCATAAACAATTTCCTGGTTTTAAAAGCGACCGCAGTTACTTAATAAAATGTTTTCATTATTCAACAGTTAAGTATTATTTAATACATTTTATACCACTTATATTGCGGGAATTGCATTTTAAAATGCAATTACCAATCTTCCTTTTAAATTTTGCAAGTATCGCCAACCGACGAACAGCTATACTCTGAAAGCAATAAATATATTCATAATAACTTATTTAACGATTACCTTTTCGGTTTATGTCAATACTTTCGCCCGCTTAACTGTAGTGTTTGCGGGTTATAATAGTCCGGAGAGAAGACACAACAATAAATGTTCGTGTATTGCGTATTGTATTTGTGGTGTTGGTTACGTTAACATTACAATAGGTTTAGGAAGGGTTAATAAAGGGAAGGAATTTAATGCCCAATTATAATTTTAAGTGAACACAATATTTTTATATCTTCTGTATTTGGAAGAACTAGAATGCGAGATGTTTCTACTGCATTGTTTCTAATTTTTTTTTACTGTATTTTTTAATCTAGTATATTTTATTTTCTGTTTTTTTTTTTTACATTTTTATTTTGTCTTTGGGGTGGTTATCAATTGTTAGGAGAGGTTAAAATTTGAAGGGGTGGGGAGGGGGAGTCGTAGATTTGTTGTGAAAATTAGAGATTGAATCAATTCCTATGATAAGGCAGGGGACAGGGCTGTACTGATCAACGATGACAAAGGAGGGAGGGGATGCAAATAAAAAAAGCTTTTTTGCCATAAAAATTTCATCAAAGTAGGGCTTTTTTTTTTATTTAAAAGCCAAATTTTAGTTTTAACCGACCTAGACTCAAACTTTCTAAATTACCGACAAAAGCGACAGAATGTTGTAAACCTGGGAAGGTGCCCACACCCCTGTTGGTACGACCTTGACAGGAGAGACTATTTTTGATGTGCGATTATTATTGCACACTACCTATAGGATGCAGCACATAAAAAATATTAGTTAAACGTTCAATAGGATTACCAGATTTAATTTAATTGACTAAAGGGCATTATTTGTACATTCCATGCTGATTGGGTGTTTATAAACAGTTGCAACAATCTCATAGGCAGTTTTCTCCGAGCTGGAAAAAATAAAAATAATCGAATTTTGGTTAAAACATTTTTTTCTGAATAACAGTTTAGTTCGACAGGGCTCTAGGATTCACAATTAGTAAAGTGTTTAATTTCGATATAATAATATTTATCGCCTTAATAAAGTTTCCTCGTGTGTAAAATTTTTATTGCTTTAGTCGACTAAATTTAGTTACACTAAATATTTAGTCGATTGATTTGAGTTAACTAAAAAGTTAGTCGGATAATTTTAGTTAGCTAAAAAGTTAGTCGGATAATTTTAGTTAGCTAAAAAGTTAGTAGGGTAATTTTAGTTAACTAGAAAGTTAGTCAACTACCCAGCGGGCATTTTGACGTCCTAAGAACGTCCGTAAGACGTCTTAAGTCTCGTCCGTAAGACATCCTTAGTTGGTCTCAAATGAAAGGCTTGAGGACGTCTATTCCAAATGTCCTAAAGACGTCTTTTTAAGTCGTCCTAGAGACGTTTTTTGACGTTCTAGAGACATCTCTGGCTGGTCTAATTTTAAAGACTTAAGGACGTCTTTTTCAGACGTCCAAGAGACGTTTAAATTTTACCAAGACATTCTTTTAAAAAATATATAAAAATGCAATGATTTACAACACAAACCTTAGATTTGCCTTAATCTAGGCAAGGGAAGTTATAAAAAGAAATCAATGTAAATAAAGTGTAATTTGATATATTTAAAATAAATTAATAACTTTACAAAAAATAAGAATAATTTTTCAAACAAAGTTAAATTTTCAAATTAAAAACTAATAGGTACAGTAGAATATAATCGATAGTGCATTATTAATAGAAGAAAATTGCTTAAAAATGGAAAAAAAAAAAAAATAAAATACAACAGTTAATTAAGCCATTATTGATCAAAATCCATATTAGTAGATGTTCTCTTTATTCGGTCAGAAGAATGCCTAATTACTCTCCCAATAAGTTGGATGGCATCCATTTTGGTTAAGTTTTTATTTGACTTTAAAGCAGCTTCTAATAAAAACAACAAAACATGTTTCAACAAGATCATAAAATAAAATATACATGTCATGTATACATACACTTAAATATTAAATTTTAAATTTTTTTTTTTTTTTTTAATTAAAACATCATTTTTAATTTTTTATTAATCAAACACATTAATAAGCTAATAAGAATACCAGTGACAGCGTAACATAGACATGTCAACTCTTTAAACTTTTTTTTCTTCTTTAGACAATTCATGCTGTATTCTGACAAAATAGTGTCTGTTGACAGTCTACATATATAAAAAAGAAGATAAATGCTGTACTGTCAATCATAAATGTTCAAATTCAACATAAACTTACAACATACAACTTACTTACAAGAGCGAAATATTTTTAATTGTATCAGTTAGATTTTTACCGCCAATTAATACAAATGTTTTACCTAAAAAAAAAAAATGTATAAGAAACATTGAAAATGTTTATGACAATTTGAAATAAATATTGTAAAAATATATAACATATAACCTCAATTGCTCTGTTCTTTAAAAGCATTACAATTGCAGACATCACTCTGTTTGCAGAATGCACTAACATAATTCATATGTTTATATATATATATATATATATATATATATATATATATATATATATATATATATATATATATATATATATATATATATATATATATATATATATATATACATATATATATATATATATATATATATATATATATATATATATATATATATATATATACATATATATATATATATATATATATATATATATATATATATATATATATATATATATATATATATATATATATATATGTATATATATACATATATATTTGATATAATTAAAATAAATTAATAACTTTACAAAAAATAAGAATAATTTTTCAAACAAAGTTACATTTTTCAAATA